TATTTTTTTTTTTGGGTACAGGGACCTTCCGGTTTCCGGATCCACAGGGGAACCGACTAATCCAGAATCGAGCCGGGTAGGACCACAAGGGCGGCAAAGCTCTCCCTCAAGAGATTTAACACTGCTGCATTTCCAGGGCTCGAACTCGAGACCACTGGTTAAGCTGGAAGAGACCCAAGCCATCTCATCCAAGCGCTCTTTGTTTTCGTTTGTTGTTCGAACATGTGTAGACTTCTGATTTCTTTGTCTAATTAATGTTTTGACTATATATGGGTTGGAGATCTGGCATTAATCCCCACCATTCGGGGTGTTTTTTTTTTAAAAAAAAAACTTAAGTTACTAGATAAATCATATAGGTAAAGAAAAAAAAAGTTCAAACACTAATTAAGTTATAATTAACAAATAGTTTTAAAAATAAAAAGAGATCGAATTTAGTGAAAATACGAAGTGTACCACGTCTGATAGGACCCCTTTTCGTTTAAAATAGAGTTAACAGATGTGTGTTCAATATTAGTTGGGCCAATTTACATGTTTGCTTGATTTGGAAATAATTACACATTTATGATTGAGGAAAAAATAATAGCATTAATTCTAAATCACAAGAAAATAATCAACAAGATCCATTATATGAGTTTACCAAATATCACGGATCGTCAAAAAAAAGTTCTCCTGTGTGGGATTATAGTTCTCTCGTTGGAGATGGTAGTTCTCTTCTGAGATCTCAGTTCTAGGATTCAGACTCTTCTAATTTAGTAGCTGTGTTTGTTTTCCTTCTTCGCTTTTGGGTCTCTAGGGTTTGTCCGTGTTTTCGTAGTGTTCCTTTTGGTGTCTGGGTTCTCTCGATAGTTTTTTCTCTATTAGGGTTTCTCGCTGCAGGGGTGTCTATCATCGCTAAGTTAGGCTTGTTCTTGGTCCAGTGGCAAGAAGGGTAGCTGGGAGTATGGAGCAGGATATTAGCGACAAACTTCTGAAAATCAAATTGTCGGAGAGGGAAGAGGAGAATGTCGAATTGCTTGATGGGGATATTGCACGGGGTCTGCGAGATTGCAAGCTAAGTCTAATCGGGCAAAGTTTCGGAGAAAAGAAGATCAATTTCTTCGGAATGAAGCATACACTTTCAGGGATATGGGCCACGAAACAACCTTTCTCTGTTCGGAATTTGGGAGACAATAAATTTCAATTTGTATTTCAGTCGGAGGAAGATAAAAACAGAGTTATGGAGGGTAAGACGTGGTCATTCGATGGGAAATATCTGCTTCTGAAACAATGGGACCCCGAGGATCTGGAATTCCACGAGGAGGAGAAGGTTATTAAAATATGGGTGCAAGTATGGAATCTGCCACTTCACTGGGTTTCTGAAGATGCAGGAGCAAAAATTGGGAAAAAGATAGGAAGAGTGCACAATGTGGTGATAACTGGAGAGGGAAGTGTTAAGGGTCACCTGATAAAAATTTTGGTTGAAATGAAGCTGAAGGACCCGATCATGAGAGGCACTAATATCAAAGTTGGAGACACCAACCGGTGGGTGGATTTCAGGTATGAAGGTATCCAATCATTTTGTTTTTACTGTGGATTGATTGGACACTCAGATAAGAGCTGCCAGTCAAAGAAAGATGATTTATTGAGGAATAAGTTTAATGGGGGTCAATTTGGAGATTGGCTGAGAACTACCTCTATTTTCATCAGTGAGGGTAGAAGTTTTCAATCTAAATTCTCTGATAATCAATCTAGTGAACCTAACAGTGAAGGAATCCAGAAGTTTGTTTCATCCCCTAGCTCTAGAGTGAGAGAGAATGCTATTGTGGAAAAAAGCAGAGAGAATAGCAGTGTTGAACTGAAAAAGCATGGTGAGGGAATTAGTGAGATGGTAGAGGGGAAGGGCAAGGAGATAGTGATGGAGGGGGTGGAATTACTTAGTATTGAGGAGGGTGGGACTATGGGCATATTAGAAATTCCTCCAGGTGATGATCAACTAATTGAGGTTAATATTCAAGCTTCAGCCATTGGGAAAAATGTTTTGAACAGGAAAAAGAAAACTTTTGTTAGAAAAAGTAGGATTGCATCTTCTGACAACCAAGATAAAATGTTAATTGAAAACCCTGGTTTGGATAAGATAATTCTTTTTGATAGTAATCAGAATAGGAAAAGATAATCTGAAGTTCCTGAACAGGAACAACAGAAAGATTGTAAAAAACCCAAAAATTTTGATGTTGATACTCAGTCCAAGGTGGAGGAGACCAGCCAAAAGTGGTCCCAAGGTGATAAATGAAGGTATGTGTGTGGAATTGTAGAGGTCTGGGAGGACCCTCTACAATTTCCCAAATCAGAGAAGTCATTAGACTTCACCTTCCGGATTTTGTGTGTTTATCAGAAACTAAGAAAAAATACAAATTTGTAGAAACTGTTTGCAAAAAAATGAAATTAAATAATAAATGGTTTTATCAACCTCCTATAGGGTCTAAAGGAGGGCTTTTGCTTTTTTGGAATGATAACATTACTATTTTGGATATGATTGCATTGGACTTTTGTTTGCAAGTCAAATTTTCTTGGAAAAGTAGTGTTGATCATCAATGGGGAGTGTTCTTATATGCTAGTAGTAATGTTTTGGAGAGAAGGGCTCAGTGGAACTCCATAGTCAGATATAGCATGAGCTGGGGGGAGTCTTGGTTTATGGGAGGGGATTATAATGATATTCTGAATAATTCTGAAAAAAATGGAGGGGTGGTTAGAGAGAAAAGTAGTTTTGACAGCTTTAGAGGGTTGGTGAGAGACATAGGAGCTGTGGAACCTAAGACTATTGGTTACCCATTCACTTGGAGTAACAATAGGAGTGGGTCTGATTTAGTGGAAGAGAAACTAGACAGATTTCTGGTTTCTCCTAACTGGCTGCTTAGATCTCCAAATGTCCTCATTAAACATATTCCTCTTTTCTCTTCTGACCACAGTATGATATTGATGGATACTGGAGGTACCTTTGAGATTCCAAAACGCATGTTTGTTTTTGATGGGAGGTGGACTGAGCTAGAGGGATATTTGGAGGTGGTTGAGAAAGCATGGAGTAAACAGGTGACAGGGCCACAATTATTCAGCATTCAGGCAAGGATTAAAAATGTCAAACAAGCCTTGTTACAATGAAAAGCCGGGATGAAAACCAATTCTCCTGGGGTTATTGAGAGATGCAAAAAGCAAATGGAGGAAATCATGGGGGAGGGAGAAATTACCAATTGGGATCTATGGAATAAGTGTAAGAAGGAAATGGCTGAGGCATACATACAGGAGGAGCTTTACTGGAAGCAAAAATCTAGACTTGTATGGCTCAAAGAAGGAGATAAAAATTCAAGATTCTTCCAGGCTAGTGTGAGATGCAGAAGAAAAATAAACAGTCTGGAGAATTTATTTACAGCAGGGGGGAACATGTGTAGAAATGATACAGAGATAGTGAGGGAACTTCAAAACTACTTTACTGATCTCTTTAGATCTTCAAATCCATTAGATCAGCATTGTAGTTTTGGAAGGTATAAGTACTACCATCACAGAGGAGATGAACAAAAGATTGTTAAGGGAGGTAGGAGAAAGTGAAATCAAAGCTGCCCTTTTTGAAATGGACCAAGACAAAGGGGCTGATGGTATGACAGCCAAATTTTTTCAATCATCTTGGTCTACTATCAGTCATCATCTGATTCTTGCAGTTCAAAACTTCTTTCAAAATGGGAGAATGCCTAAGGGATTAAACCATTCTGTCATTACTCTCATACCAAAAAAAAAAATAATCCTTGTCTGGTTAGTGATTTTCGACCTATCAGTCTTTGTTCTGTTGTGTATAAGGTTATTGCCAAAATTCTAGCTAATAGGATCAAACCTGTGCTTGGTCATTGTATTTCCAGTTCTCAGTCTGCTTTCATCCCGGGTAGACAGATTCTTGATAACGTTATTATTGCTTCTGAGTGTATCCATTATCTTAACTGCAAAAAGCAAGGAAAAAAGAATTTCATGGCTCTTAAGCTTGACATGTCAAAAGCTTATGACAGGGTTGAGTGGGGATTCCTTGTTAGGGTTTGTAAAAAAATGGGTTTTGCCTCTGAGTTCATTTCTTTGCTATTGGCTTGTTTATCATCTGCTTCTTTTGCCTTTAATGTTAAAGGGTCTATGAAGGGTTTTGTTAAATCATCTAGGGGGCTCAGGCAAGGGGATCCCTTATCCCCTTACCTGTTTCTTATCATTTCTGAAGCTTTCTCTAATCTCATCAAATGTGCTTGTGCTTCTGGGGACTATAGGGGGATTAAAATTTGCAGAAAGGCTCCTATTATCTCTCATTTATTTTTTGCTGATGATGTGCTGTTATTTTGTGAAGCTGATAGTAAGCATGCCTCTTTGATTCAGAATTTTCTGCTTGAATATGGGTTAGGGTCAGGTCAAAGAGTCAATATGGATAAGTCTTCCATTTTCTTCTCCAAGAACACAGCTATTAATATTAGGAATGAGATCTGTAGTTCTTTTGCTAGGATTTCTTGTGTGAAAAGCACTAAATATTTAGGTCTACCATTAGGAATTGGGAGGAAAAAAAAAAAGAGATTTTCAGATATGTGAGTGACTGTGTGAGAGAGAGAATTAGCAGCTGGAAAAATATTTTTTTGAGTGAAGGGGGAAGAGATACTCTTATCAAATCTGTGTTGGCTGCATTACCAACTTATGTTATGTTTTGTTTCAAAATTCCTATTGGTGTTCTCAAAGACATTTGCAGGGATATTGCTAACTTCTGGTGGGGGAGGGAATGAGAGTGGGGGTAATAGACTTCATTGGGCATCTTGGGATAAACTGGCAAGAAACAAAGAGGAAGGTGGGTTAGGTTTTAGGGATCTTGCTGATTTTAATTCTGCCTTGCTTGTGAAACAATTGTGGAGGGTCATGTCTAAACCTAATTTGTTGGTTAGTAGGGTTATGAGAGGGAAATACTTTTGGAATCAAAACCTCAATGAAGTTAAACTGAGAGGATCTGGTTCTTGGATTTGGAGGTGTTGGATGGGGGTGAGAGAGTTCTATAAGTTAGGGGCTAGATACCAGATGGGGGATGGGAAATCCATTTCAGTTTGGGAATCCCCTTGGATTCCTAACAATTCCACTTTTAAACCTGGGAGGGGATTTACTTGGGACAAGGGAAAAATTGAGAGAGTGAGTGATTTGATTTGTCAGGATTCTAATGAGTGGGATAGGGAGTTAGTCCTTCAAACTTTTAACCCCATTGATGCAGGGCACATTCTCAGCATACCTATTAGTCACTGTGGAAAAAGAGATGAATTGATATGGCATTGGGATTCAAAAGGTTTGTTTACAGTGAAAGGAGCATATGAAGCAATCAGAAAATACAAAAGAGCTCAAAAGCAAGAGGAAACTAGTAGTGGATGCCAGCAAGAGAAACTGATGTGGAAGATAACCTGGGCTTTGCCTATCCCTCCCAAGATTAAATTTTTCATCTGGAGATGCTATCATGGATACCTAGCAAATAAAGTGCAGTTGGCAAGAAAGGGCATAGAATTGGATACACAATGTGAGCTGTGTGGAGAGAAAGAGGAGAACATAGAACACATGTTGCTGTACTGTCACAGGGCATCTGCTTGCTGGAAACTGAGTGGCTTATGGTGGGAAAATCAAGAAGACAAACATATCAGCTTCAAAGACTGGTGGTTTCAGCTCAGTAATATTCAGGTGAAGAATGCAAGAACAGAAAGAGTAAGTTTGGCTGCATCTGTACTGTGGAACATATGGAACAACAGGAACAAATGGACATTCCACAAAAAGAGAGACACTGACATGCAAGTGGTGAACAGAGCTAAGGAGAAATGGCTCGAATATATAACTGCTCATGAGGGAGGAAGAGAGCAACAGGTACTTAACCAGAGTTCAAAATCAACCCAGAAGGAGAAATTTTCCAAGGAGGTAGGACAGGTTAGCTTTTCTGTCAGTGCCTTACACTCTGAGAGGGTTGGGATGAGCTTTGGTGGAGTAGCTGAAAAAAATAGACAAGAACTCTTTACTTGGTCTTGCATTAAAGCAGATAAAGAAGATTACAAAATGGGGATGCTACAGGGAATAAGATCAATTCTGCAGAATCTTAGAGCTTCAAGGGAACATCATATGGTCTGTTACTTACCAGACTTGCAGATGGTCAAGATTCTGAGAAAGGAACTGATTTGTGAGACCAAGTTAAAGAGCATTTGCTTTGATATATGGTGGTTATGTGAAAATGGGGGAAATTGTGTATTTGTTTTTGATCCAGGTGAATGTAGTAATAGTGGTATCTTAGCTTCTTTGGCGATTAACGGACAGTGATGTTACTGATCCAGTTATTCCTTAACTTGCTTTTCAAGTTATGTGTTTTGGGCTCAGGGGAGTCCGCGATTGTAAGAACATCTTTGAGTTTTTTATAATATTTGGTTGATTTTGGAAAAAAAAAAAAAAAGAGTTTACCAAATATCCAATTTTGTTCCTTAAACTGAGTAGCCGATTTTGAAAATAACACTCCAACATTCAAATCAGTTTCTTCTTTTCTTTTTGCAATGATTTATCATCCCCAATTTACTTCTCACGCAGCATCAATCGACGACGGCGAATTATGATCGACAATATGTAGTGGTAACTGGTAAGTATTCCCGCCTGTCACGCGGGTGACCCAGGTTCGATCTCCGGCAACGGCGCCATTTTGTTTGTAGTATTTTGGGTATTGGTAACCGAGGTACCCGGTCTCGGGTCGTTCTCAAAAGAAGGCTCTTCGGAGCTTCGTTCACTACCTAGTCGTCAAAATCACACAACCGAAAAGGAGGTCCTACACATTCTACTCGCTTGATGGGGTTGGAATTCACGAAATTAAACTAACAATCTAGAGCGAATGAAAGCAAATGATGCAAGATGAAAACACGCAATAAGATGAGAGAAATCAAGGGGGAAAGAGAGATTTTGGTTCGTCGGAGTCTCTATGATCAAACACGCACAAATAACCGAACATTGCCATGCGAGCTAAAACCCTAGGTAGCTAAACCAATCTCTAGCACAAGACGAGCAAGCATTCAACTCCTAATCACACTTAGTCAAGCATTCACGATCTAAAGATTCAATCTTTTCCTCCAAGCAACTCAAGCACAATATCAATTTTCACAAAAGCAAACAAAGATATACGAAGTAATGAGGCTTAAGACTAAGTACCCACTCTTACACGCACTTGGAAGGAGAAACAGAGTCAAAAGCTCGAAATTTTACTCGAAACAATGTCTCCGGAAATTCACCGGAAAACTTGATTCATATGCTCCAAACCAAAATATAAAAAAAGGAAAAAAGAAAATAGAGAGGATTTTCTCAACTTAAAAGTTGGGAAATAAGGGTTGTGTCCAAAATTACAAAGCACAATGTGTATTTATAGCTACACCACAAACACACACTAGAAACACACACATTTAATGAAATTCTGCATTTTGCAGGTCTCGAAACAGAGTTCGCAGCGAGTTTGGGCATGGAATAGTGCTGGAATGGGTGTTTCGCGGGTCGCAAAAGTAGTTTCGCAGCGAGTGTGGGCTTTGGGTGCCTTGAGTGCGCGTTTCGCAGCTCGCGAAGCCGGGTTCGCTGGCGAGTGTAAGCATAGTGTGCTAGGGAGCGGCGTTTGGTAGCTTGCGAAAAGAAATTCGCAGCGAGTGCGAGGGCTAGCTGGGCGCCTCATGGGCCAAGTCGCACGTCGCGAATGCGGATTGGCTGCGAGTGTGGCTATGCTACTTTTGACTCGAATGTTCGATAAAATGGTTCGGATGGCTCGAATATGTTTCGGAAAATACTTGTCTTCCCGATCATGCAAAATGGACCTACATAATACACCAAAAGATACGCGAAAATACGACAAAATACAAGAACACATAACGAAAACAAAAACATACACGACAAAATGGACCGATTGACTCAAAACCGAACCTAAGAATGACTCGACTAACCACATAAAACACAAGAAAATAAACACAAAAATATAACAAACAATAACCGACGGCGGCACGGACTGGTGAAATATGCTCGTCCACGATAGTGCAATGCACGGCGCTGGATTGGTGGCTAACTGGGGATGGCACATCAAATATGTGGTTCGCTTAATGGCTGCGAGTCCAAGACCTTCACCTACAATGTGAAGGGCGAACGAAGAAATTCCTAAGACCCTTCAAATCGAGCGCGACGGTCGTGAGAATATGTGAAGCGACGTCGTTCGGATCGAGCGGGATAGGCGATCGACTTCGGCCTCAGCTCAACTGGCGCGAGAGACCATGTCGAAGTGGAGGATCTGGCTTTGGATATTTCTATAGCTTTAGGTTGTCTAGGTTGGCTGATTTCTCGTCTTTCTTGAAGTCGAAGAGATTGGCGGAGGCGAGAGGAGGGGGAAAGGGATGACACATGTTTCATGTTTGGGTAGAAAGTGATGGTGGAGGGGCGAATGTCGTAGGAGAAGATGGCGGCGATGAGGAGAGAAGATAGATGACCGATAAATTTCATTGGCCAAAGAATATTTTCCTTAAATGACTTAGTATATTTTATGTATATGTTGCATTTTTATTTACATAACATTATCTAACCACAATTGTTGTGTTTGAATTTTGTTTATATTTTTTACTTTATATTATGCTTGCAATTTATACAACATGCATATGTAAAATATATTATAAGCGCTCTCAGGATGTAAAAGAAATTTTACATACTAGATTGCAATTTTTTTTTCTCAACCAACATTCAGTTTATGCTTTATTTATAAATTGTAACTATGTATATAACATATAAGTGGTTATATAAAATTTATGTCTCTGTAACATATAAGAGATATATACAATTTGCATCTTTGTAGTATACAATGACAAAAATGACCAGGTCGACAATTATAATAACAGCAGGTCAAAGCTCAAAGACAAGCATCATAATTTTGTGCAGGACATGCATCAAAATAATTTCAATTTATGTCGCGTTTACAGTCAGTATGTTTTCATTATATATTGCGTTTCTATTTACATAATTGTTATCAGCTCAAATGCTCAATTTCGCATGCACCTCTTGAACAACAATCGGACAACATCACTAGAGAGATTAATGTTTGTTCTAATCTCTTTAAACAACATCAGTACCATCAAGCTTGTAGATTCATGAGCGAAACATTTTTTTAATAAGCTCCATTAAAACACTATAGAAAATAAACGTTCTTGGCAAATAAGAATGTCTCGCCATTTTGTCCACACGACGGAGCTAGTAAGAACCAATAAGAAGTATGACAAAATCAAACATCCATTCACAAAAAGTACTCAACTAAAACATAAACACACGACAGAACTACAAACAAGATCGAAAAACATTAATATGAATTCCAAAACAACATAAATAATAATAGAAAAACGACAAAATTGCTCATTTGTCGTCTCATATTGATTTCCTCATCAACAAAAACATAAAAAATAAATAAACATCAAATAAAGATTGAAAACATATCCAATCGAAACTATCCGCAAGCCGCCACTCATCACAACCAGGGTTGTCGTCCTGTCACAGAGACTCTGCCGACGACCGCTCCCGGGATGAGTCCACAGTCATAGTCGCTCGTCTATGAGGTACTCGATAGATCACCGCCACCAGTCGTTGTCACCTTTGAACAAGCCAAACAAACTGCTTCCGCTAAAAAACGGGGACGTCATTCGTCACTTCACACCGCCTTAGATTAACTTTTTCGGTTCCCGACAAATCGAGTTCCCACCGCCCTAGGTTGAAGTCGACCGGCAGAACAGAGTTCAAATGTATGAAAAAATTTTAAGGAAGACAAGGAACTAGATTTATAAACTAAGTCATAGAAGGGTGGTCGTTGGATAGTGTTAGATGGACAATCAAGAAGGAACTAGGGCACAAAGTGGAACGCCTGACAGATGGGATAGGCGAAAAGACAAGCACGATGTATGATGTATGCCCTCAAGAAGCACATGTCGAGTATGACCTATTCAGGGTTATTTAAAACTATGATTATTATTATTATCAAACAAGTTTATTGACCTCGAAAACCAATAGCTCGTTTGATAGTGGAGGGCTAGATGATATAACATATAGAGTAACTCGGATTAGCCGGTCTTTATAGCTCGATTTAGCCGGACTTAAATAGCTAGGGTTGAGCCGATCTTAAATAGCTCGGATTGAGTCGGTCTTGAATAGTGCAGATAAGTCACCCATCATGTAGCTCAAACTTATCTTCGGTTGTGTAGCTCGAACTTACCTTCCA